ACATAGCTATTTGAAGCATAATTAGCAACAGGGTGCCAGTCACTGACTGTGCTTTTTGCTTTATTTTATGTCTGGGGAGTTCCAGTATTCCCCATTAGCTTTAAGAGGGGGCATGGTGCTAGTTATCAAATTGACAGTCTTGACCTGACCTCTGAAAGCAGCTGTAAAACATTGTTTGGGAAAATTAAGATGAATGCCAAATACCATATGAAGACCAGGAGCATAATATTGCTACGGATTGGACAGTCATGGTCCATGCCATGGCTCCAAATAACAATGTAGGTAAGATATCTGATATACATGAGAGCACAGACTTTGTTACTCTAAATACCAGGTGACCGTGATAAGGAGATACACCAGCCGTCCCATTAGCTCATCTTATGAGCTCTGTATTTTGAGTTCTTTATAAAATACCCCATACCTATTATTTTCATCATTAGCAGAATGATCAGCTCTGCCATCTGTTAAAATACAGATAGGATATTTCATGCAAGAAGCATGGAGTGAATCAGCTACAGCTGCCCCTACAGTAAAAGGTACTGAGCACAAAAGGGTTATTTTGTCAAGTTAATTAAATATTTAGCCTACATGAGCATTTAAGAATAAACATGATCATAGAAATCATCAAATGGTTTGGGTTGGAAGGGACCTTAAAGATCATCTAGTTCCAACCCCCCTAATATATTTTCTGTTTTTCTGGTTCTTCAGGATACCTCACTGGCGGGGGGGGGGGGGGGGGTGTTGACAGATAAAAAAAACCTTCTGGCTAGGTGGAGAGAATGTGGCAGATAGAGCAACTTAGGTAGTCTGCAACCAGCCTGAAATTCTAACAGAGATCTGTGAATTACCTTGACCTGCCTGACTGGAGCATCAGCTTCAAAAATCCAGTGATTGCACTTCATTGTCATCAGCAACTAATTCAGCAGTGATCATTTTATCTAATGTTTTCAGAAAACGGGTAAGAGCAAAACACCGTGGACTGGCTTTTGGGAATTTCTGGAGATAATGCAAGAGCAGACCAGAGAGGTAGACAGAGGACAGGAAAACCAGCAAAAGAATAAAGAGAAGTAATCAAAGGGCAGCAAAGAGGGTGGGATTAGATGGAAAGGAACTATTAAGTAAAGATGAGCATGATGTGAATTGTTATAAGAAAATGTTAAAGTCTTACATTTTAGTTGTGATACTAAGACTATATTTTTCCATTAATCTCTGTGTAAAACACCAACCGACTTTTATCTCAGCCCATCTCACCTGACAGCTGGTTGATGGCTGTGTTCCCAGCTCAGGTCCACTATGAGAGATCAGAGGTCTGTGTCCTCCAAATGCACCTTGGTTATCAATCACAAAAAAGGAACCGTAAGAAAAAGATGACCAACCAGGGATTAAGATAAAATCATGCACTTTTCCCAATTTACTTGCACTTGGGATTAAACACAGGATTTTAGGTCTGCAGGTCTTTATCTCCTTTCATGAATGCTATGTCCATTTTAAGAGTTAATTGAATACATTACAAAATGTAGGAACTGCCAGGAAAAATGGAGCTGGTTTTGGTTTTACAAGCCCTTAAACATATTAAAGTAAGAAGACAAATGCCTTAAGCAGTTCCATATCAGTTCTACCATTCTGCATCTCTAAAATTTATTTGTGCTTTTTCTATTTTTTCTGTTTCTAGGATTTCTTTTTCATGATGGAGAATTTGTATAGGAAGCGGAGAAATCAGTGGTAACGTTCAGCTTATATGAAGGTTTCAATTTTTTACAGATTTTCTACAAAGCAGCCAACCAATGCTCTGCAGCATTGGCACTTCAAGGTCCTATTTCTTTGTTTTCACCACAGGTCAGATCCTATCGTCAGGAAAAACTAATTTCAAAGCATCTTCCATCACAGGCATGCTGAAATAATTAAATGAAACAGCCAACCAGAAAAAAAATCCTCTTTCTTTAACCCATCAACCCTGCGCCAGCGATGCAGAACTCTCCTCAAGCTCTGACAGTAAGGTTTGCTAGTCAGGTAGTGAATGTACTCCTGTGGCTTAGACCTCCATAATCATTTCTCTCTTCTGCAGGACGTGTACTTCAAGGATTGGTAATGGCCAGCTGTGTCTCCTTTGATTCTCTTAGCATATCCACATTATGTTTTTACACATGTTGATTCGAGTACTTTAAACACTGGCTTTGTTCTCTATTGTAGGTCATGGGTTATATGGGACTTTTGAAATGTTGTCCTCCTGGAGAAAAACTAGAGAAGACCAACATGTTAAAGAGAGGACTGCAGCTGTTTTTGCAGACTCTATGCTCTCGTTTTCTCTCACCACTGCCATGTACCTGGTCACTTTTGGAATAGGTGCCAGTCCCTTCACTAACATTGAAGCAGCCAGGATTTTCTGCTGCAATTCCTGTATTGCAATTTTCTTCAACTACCTCTATGTACTCTCCTTTTATGGTTCCAGCCTGGTGTTTACTGGCTACATAGAAAACAACTACCAGCATAGTATCTTCTGCAGAAAGGTACCAAAGCCAGAGGTATTGCAAGAGAAGCCTGCATGGTATAGGTTTCTTCTGACAGCCAAATTCAGCGAGGACACGGCGGATTCAGAGGAAACGAACACTTACGAGAGTCATCTTTTGGTGTGGTTCCTGAAACGCTATTATTGTGACTGGATAACAAACACTTACGTCAAGCCTTTTGTAGTTCTCTTTTACCTTGTTTATATTTCCTTTGCCTTAATGGGCTACCTGCAGGTCAGCGAAGGGTCAGACCTGAGCAACATCGTAGCGACCGCGACACGGACCATTGAGTATACGACTGCCCAGCAGAAGTACTTCAGTAACTACAGCCCAGTGATTGGGTTCTATATCTACGAGTCAATTGAGTACTGGAACACCAGTGTCCAAGAGGACGTGCTGGAGTATACCAAGGGCTTTGTGAGGATATCTTGGTTTGAAAGCTACTTAAATTACCTTAGGAAACTCAACATATCTACTGGATTGCCCAAGAAGAATTTCACTGATATGTTGAGGAACTCCTTCCTGAAAGCCCCTCAGTTTGCACACTTTTCAGAGGATATCATCTTTTCCAAGAAATATAACAACGAAGTTGATGTCGTGGCCTCCAGGATGTTCTTGGTGGCCAAGACAATGGAAACCAAGAGGGAAGAACTTTATGACCTCCTGGAAACCCTGAGGAAGCTCTCTCTCACCTCCAAGGTGAAATTCATCGTTTTCAATCCATCGTTTGTGTACATGGATCGTTATGCCTCTTCAGTGGGAGCCCCCTTACAAAACTCCTGCGTTAGTGCTTTATTTCTGCTCTTCTTCTCTGCATTCCTGGTGGCAGACTCTCTGATCAATGTCTGGCTCACTCTAACTGTTGCCTCGGTTGAATTTGGAGTTATAGGTTTTATGACCTTGTGGAAAGTGGAACTAGATTGTATTTCTGTGCTGTGCTTAATTTACGGAATTAATTATACAATTGACAACTGTGCTCCACTGTTATCAACCTTTGTCTTGGGCAAAGAGTTCACAAGAACTAAATGGGTGAAAAATGCCCTGGAAGTGCATGGGGTAGCTATTTTGCAGAGCTACCTCTGCTATATTGTTGGTCTGATTCCTCTTGCAGCTGTGCCTTCAAATCTGACCCGTACACTGTTCAGGTGCTTGTTTTTAATAGCATTAGTCACCTTCTTTCACTGCTTTGCCATTTTACCTGTGATACTGACTTTCCTGCCACCGTCAAAGAAGAAGAGGAAAGAGAAGAAGAATCCTGAAAACCGTGAGGAAATAGAGTGTGTTGAAATGGTGGATATGGATAGCACCCGAGTGGTTGACCAAATTACAACAGTCTAACTTGTTTGTTTGTTGCTTTTTTACACTAGGTCTTAATGAGGAAAAAAAAATAAATAAACCAATACTGACTAAATAGCTGGGGAGAGGAAAGGGTTTGGAGGTTTCCCCTCCCCCCTCTAATCTAAATCCAGGAATGTTCAAAATGATGGGAGAAATTAAAAATAAATTTTAAAAAAGAGCTGAGGGATTGTACCTTGCTCAGCTCCTGTCAGAGGTATTACGAAAGAATTTGCACACACATGCAAAGAGGGGTTGAATTTTAGACGCATGAAGTAAGATCTAATGAGAGAAGTTGGGTTCCTAAGCAGCCGTCTGCACTGCCTGTACTGCAGATGCTGCAATTATTGTGGCTAAACCCAATCAGACTGAAAGGTCAACTGTCAAGGCTGAAGTAGCACTAAACGTTTGCTGGATGTAAAGGCTTTACAAACTTTCTGCACAGCAATAACTCAAGTCAGTGAGTCAGCTCTTATAGGTCTCAGCCATCACATGTAATTTTTATTTTCTCCCCTAATCTAAATATTTATGCAAGACTGTATAACAGATAGCAAACTGTACTGGGGAAGAAGACAGTACACAGTAACCAAATGCTTTTCAAACACTTTTATGTTATAAATCACTTTTTTTTTTCCTAAAAACACCATTTTAAAATGTAAATCACCCCTTGTAACATTTTTAATCATGGTTTTATAGCTGTTTCTCTTTCTTACAAAAACAAAAAAAAAAAGAACAAAAAAATCCCAGTGACTGTCACTCTGGAAAATATATAATTCTATTTTATACATGTCTCACTACTAGTTAAACATGTAATCTGCTTTACCAACTGTAATTTTGCTAGCACTCTACTAACACATGTGAGTGGATCTAGCAGCAGACAGAAGACGGTGTACTGAATATTTCAGCACCAAAATCCATGACACAAACTTCAAATACTAAACTGTCATCAAGAAAGTGAATGTTAAGGCTCTTGTAGCGAGAGCCTATTTCAGGCCATTCACTGGTAATACACACTAAGAGGATTAGTGGGTAGTTTTATGTAATGTATAACTTAATCCCTCAGTCTTCCCAGAGTACCTGTAAAGCAATAGACCTTGCAGCTATGGGATCTTCCAAGAGACAGTAGATGGTGACAATTTTATGGAACAAACCGAAGGTTGGGACTGTGGTTTAGCAGCAGTGAGTTTAACACGATCCCCAAAGAGCCCATATCTAAGGAGCCTATTGAAAACATCCCATCGAGGGGAAAAACAAAAAAAAAGCAAACCTTAAAAAGATTACATTACTGAGTCTTTTTGGAGCTGTGAGTTCTAAATCAATAATTCTGTCAGCATCTGTGATGTGGAGTAATGCAGATAAAGCAGCATCTCTATCCTCCTCCACCCCCTCCACCCTTAAGAGCAACAGGCTCATTACTATAAGGTTTTATTACGTGGTTGAACTCCAGTGGGGATACATAAGCCAATTCTGTAGGTTTTGCTGGGAGTATTCCGACTATACATTTCCTGTGAAAACCCAGTTGCAGGAAGCTGGCTCATGTGTCGGGTGGTCTCATGAATATATGGATTGTTGCTTTGTGGTACAAGGTAAATGTGTTGCAACCAGACTCCTTCTTACAGCTCATCCAGAAAGTAAGCGTATTTGAAAAGTTTTCAGCAGTTAAGCATGATGTTTGCCTCAATCCCAGTATCTGGAGGGAGAAGGGATGTTGCAGGAGCAATGGGGCTTGGACTGCTGGGAGCACTGTAGCTCGGGAAGCTGCCTCTATTACCCATACAGTGATTAGCACGTATGTAGTCACAAACCCAGGGTATGCTTCATTGCATGGAACTTCTCCTTAGCATCCAATCCCAGTGACTCCCCAAATGCCCTGTGCAAAACCCACAAATGCCACCTAGTGAATATTAATTTTCAAGCAAAGAGATACTTCTGAGGCTTCCTCCGTAGCAGAAAATGAGATAACCAGATATTTTGCCCAGAAGTAAAATGTTACATACTGACTAGCAAAACAAGTCAGCAGTGCAGCTGGTAATGTTTACTTTCCCCTCGATAAGTCCCTTTTCTGACCAGAAGGAAAGGGAGCTGTGTCCAGGAATGCACAGGCTCTTTGCTTGAACAAACAACAGTTTCTGTGGTAGCAGCTAGGAAGCTGTAACAACTTCAGCCTTGGCAGAAATCAGGCGGATACCTTGAAGACAGACAAATGAATGTGAGCTGAGGGGAAAGATCTGTTTCCCCTGTTTTCTTTAGACTCAGGCTTGGGGCTACATTTTCCAGACAAAAATCATTCCTTAAATATACTTTCAGTGTAGATTTTGTGTGCCCATCAATATGTCGTTTAAGTAACAATCACCCTATCTCCTGGCTGTTCAACCGGCAGTTGCAGTGGCTTTTAAACTTCTAGGGGCATTAGCAAATTAGTTGAGAGTTACAGAGGAATTGTGAACCACTTTTTGCAGCAGCATTCTACTGGCTAGGGGGACACCTGGAAATGGGAGATGTGTGAAAGAGGTTGTTTGTACCCCGTGGAGAGGAATACATGGCAAACACTGATTTTACACCTCTGCTATCTCTGATGCTATCACTTGCAAACACCGGAGAGGAGGATAGCTACCATAAACCTCTTCCCATCTAATTGAAATGCATAGATAGGAGCATCTTTAAAGAGACATCCAAATACAAGCTTTCGCAGATCTCTCATTAAATTGCAACATGTGAAGCCTTCAGAGATCTTCAAGGAAGGTGATAAAACCAGTGATAAAATTGTTCCTCTATCTCCAAACCTGTCAGAAAAAGGATGTGGAGGCAATCCTATGGCCAAGTGCCACAGGACATGCTTGAGTGTCCACAGAAGACAGGGTGAGAAGTCCTGCAGGCCAACCCCTTGCCCCAAGGCAGAGCCAACGACGTGCAAATTATTTCTGAAGGGTGTTAATTCAGTTCCTTCTTTAAAATCTTTCTAATGGCAGATTCCTCCCCTAGCAGTTCTCCCCAGTGCGGTGTTACTCCACCAGTAAGTCCTGCTGGCTACCTAGGACTGGGAAGAGGAGCCGTGCCCCTCTCCGCACAGGGAAGGACAAGCCAGGCAAGAGACAGTCTCTGAAGGCTCTTCACCTCCTCAGAAACCCAAAACAGAGCCAAAAACAACTTACATACATTTCTCACTGTGTTTCAGATCAAGCTGACACTCCACTCCCCACTTCAGGCTTGGTGAGGTAAAGCCATAAAAATGTCTAAGGCATACTCAGCCCAGGTCCGTGAGATTTCTGCCTGAATCATGATGTGTGAGTGATGGACCAAATACTTCTTCTCTACAGGTAGCTTGAATACCTCAACATGAACCAGAAACGGCATGTTCTCAAGGTTTCAGACTATGCTAACCCACTTTGGCCTTCCTCTCATTTGACTTTTTCCTCCGGAGCAATTAATCTTCACCAAAGTCAACTGGTCCTCACTGCACCAATTGATTAACAGCTGTGGATGCTGTGCTCTGTTTTCAGTCCAAAGCACTCCCAGTGGCTAACTGTGCATGAGACTTTACCCTTACTGGTGAGCCTCTGTTTTGGAAAACTACCTAGGCTTAACAGTTTTTTGTCATACTCTTAAGTGGCTTTTTAGCCCAGGTATCACTGTGGTTTTGTTCGCAATATAGATGACCCAGTTTTTGTACAAATTCAGTGAGTGTAAAGGAGTATTATATACTGTCAGGCACTGACTGAAATCTAACAGCAAAAATTTATGCTAAGGCTAACAAGACTATATAGGACTGTGGCTCACTGAGCACATTTATCTTCTACAAACATTAAAATTTCCATACAGTAAGGTATGGTGTACAGTATATTTTTACTATGGGGTAAGCATGGGGAGAAAGAACCAACCTAAGTGCATATGACCATCAATATCAGTCCAGTTTTCTTATAACGTAATTCCTAAGTTGTCTTAGCACAAGCTCATTTTCAATTTACAAGTATTCTAATTGGAGGAAAAAATAAAGAGAGAAAAGTTGGTGGAGCTGGAATAATTATGCTACAAAAATTAATTGATGAAGCCAGAAATTTCTGCCCAAAGCTTTAAGTGAAAACGTTCTAGTCAGATTAAAATCAGAACTGTGAAGGTTGAGAAAAACCTATCTGGCAAAGAAAAAAGGGTCATTTTCTAAAGACAAGCAAACACACTTACCATGGTCAACTGCATGAACCTGGAGGGAAGACAGTACCAAAGTGGCCTGAGGTTGCATTGAGCCGCGTGAGGATTCGCGTCTGCTCTCAGAAGCTTTCTGAGCCAGCGCTGAATTCAGGTAAAACATGTACTGTAAATTGAAAGGTGTACTTCTAAATGCTTTTCTCTAGACTGACTGTCCTCCTGTGTGCCACCAAATCCCACCTCAGCCAACACCTTGTTTATTTTTATTCAAAGAGAAAAAAGGAAAGAGCGTGGCGATACCACTGGGCAGCGTTCAGGAGAGGCAGAAGGAAGACTGTGACTGCACTTACAAACAGTGAGAAAGCCAGGAACAGCTCTTTAGCAAGTGGGTTTTGTATGAGAAAAACTGCTCACTTCAAAACTTAGCAAATGGATGATTGTCCTGTTTGGTAACTTTGAAAACAGATTGTGTGTTGGAGGAGAGACAGGGAAGGGAAGCAGAGTTAACAGGAGTTAGCCTTGTGTTCACTGTGGCCCTGAGTTACTGCACCAGCCCTGGTGTGGTTGGGGGCTGGCGGCAGGACGGGAGCACCGAGGGGGTGGGGTGGCTGTCCTGCATCAGCGTTGGGGACCAGAGTGCCAGACCCGGCACTGTGGCAGGGACGCTTCCCATGTCCCCATCCCGCAGGCAGCCCCGGGGGCATGGGCAGCCACAGCGTGCCCAAGCTTCCGTGTGTGCACAGCCAGCCCCTTTGTGCCTCACGCCATGGCAACACCGCTGGGCTTTGTTGAACCTGAGCATGTGTGGTAAGGCACAAGCCCTTTGGTAAGGCACTTTTTGGAAGACCCTGGTCAGAAAAGATTACCCAGAGCCTTTTCCTCCCCTGCCTGCACAGGTATTAAAACCCCAATCCATATAAATCGAATTGTACAACTAGCTATGTAGGGGCAAAGTATTTCTTCCACGGTTTTATCCCTACATTTATCACTGAAACTACTTGTCGTTTATTTACTTATAGATATTTTGAAATAAGTAAGTCTTCC